CACCTCAGACTGAGGAAGTCTCTTGGATGAGAGACAAAACGTTTCTACATTTTTTTTTGTTGTTTTGCTTTGTTTTGTTTTTTTAATGTCCAGAGGACCAGATTTAACTTTTTTTGATGTTTAAAGAGATGTTTCCCCTAATTAATGTCCACATTTTGGATCTACTTAATTTGTCTTTAATGGATGGTTATGTACCACAGCGCTTTAAGGTTGTTGTAATTAAACCTTTACTTAAGAAGTCTGATCTTGATTCAGAAATTCTGGCCAACTACAGGTATATCTAATCTAACTTTCATCTCAAAAATTCTAGAGAAAATAGTTGCAGGTCAGTTGCGTGAACATCTACAAAGAAATAATCTGTTTGAAGAGTTTCAGTCAGTGTTTAGAGCTTATCATAGCACAGAAACAGCACTAGTAAAAGTAACTAATGATATTCTCATGGCCTCAGACAATGAACTTGTGTCTATACTGGTCCTGTTAGACCTCAGTGCTGCATTTGATACAGTTGATCACAATATTTTACTACAGAGGCTTGAATATGATATTGGGATTACAGGAACGGCTCTAAAATGGTTTAAATCATATCTATCTGATAGATTCCAGTTTATAAATGTAAATAATAAATCTTCATACACCAAAGTTAGTCATGGAGTTCCTCAGGGCTCAGTGCTTGGGCCAATACTCTTTATTTTATATATGCTTCCATTAGGTAAAGTTATTAAACAGCATGGGATAAATTTCCATTGTTATGCTGATGACACACAATTATATTTGTCCATTAAACCCAATGAATCCAATCAGCTACTTAGACTACAAGCATGTCTTAAAGACATAAAAACCTGGATGACCCTTAATTTTCTCTTGTTGAACACAGACAAAACTGAGGTTTTGGTTTTTGAGGTTTTGGTTTTTGGACCTGAGCACCTTAGGAATGACTTTTTCAGTCTTTCTCCCTCCTTAGATGGCATTAATCTGTCCTCCAGATCTAATGTTAAAAATCTTGCTGTTATTTTTGATCAGGACATGCCTATTATCCCCCACATTAAAAATGTTACTAGAACCACCTTCTTCCACCTGCATAATATCACTAAAATTAGAAACATCTTATCTAAAAATGATGCAGGAAAACTGGTCCATGCATTTGTCACGTCTAGACTGGACTATTTAAATTGTTTATTATCTGGATGTCCAAATCCAAATAGTTAAAACGTCTTCAGTTGATCCAAAATGCTGCTGCCAGAGTTTTAACCGGAGTTAGTAGGAGAGATCATATTTCTCCAGTTTTAGCTTCTCTCCATTGGCTCCCTGTCAAGTCCAGAATAGAATTCAAAATCTTACTTTTAACCTACAAAGCTCTCAACAACCTGGCTCCATCTTATATTACAGATCTCATTGTTCCATATTTTCCTAACAGAGCACTTCTCTCTCATACTGCAGGTTTACTTGTGGTTCCTAGAATTTACAAAAACAGAATGGGAGGTAGATCTTTTAGTTATCAGGCTCTTCTCTTGTGGAACCAACTTCCAATCTCTGTCCGTGAGGCTGACACATTATCCAGTTTTAAAACTAGGCTTAAGATTTTCCTTTTTGCTAAATCCTGTAGTTAGGGTCGGCTTTGGTTTCCTGAGCTGTCCCTTAGTTATGCTGCTATAGGCTTAGACTGCTGGAGGACAAACTGACCACAATTGACCTCTTCCGGTAAGATGGCGCCCGTGTACATGGCTTGCAATCCACCTCTGCTGATGGTGTTCGGGTTATTTTTGTTTTTTGCATTTCACATCTGTGACATCAACTCTCTGCTGGTGTATGACAGACAACAACTTTTGAATCTTCGTTTTTCTGGCACTGAAGTCACTTATTTGGACAATTATGAGCGTACCTCTGGAACCCCCCCCCCCCCGCTGGTGGACATTCGCTGCGCTCCTCACCTGCCTGCCTGGAGATCTCGCTTCAGACGCCGGGGAAAACGTGCTGGTCAGCTGGTGAAGCTGAAAGCTCTGCGCGCTGCATCTTCCTCTCCAGCTGGCTGTCATGGTCTCCAGCTTCCTGTGTGCCCGGACCAGGTAACCAGCGGGAGTTGTCAGCCGTTGCGCAGCCCGGACCGACCTGGAGGGGCTGTTATTGAAAACCTGCGGCCATTAGCACGCGCTAACTCCACCGCTGCTGGCTCTACTTTGGACAATATCCGGATGTGTTTGATCAACGCAAGATCTGTTACCAACAAAACTTTTATCCTCAGGGATTACTTTCAAGAGCACGATCTGGACTTTTTCTGCATCACAGAGACTTGGATGTCTCCGGGTGAGTCCAGCGCCTTGACGGAATTACTGCCACCGAACTGTCTGTGTTTTAATGCCCCGCGGCCATGAGGCCGGCGCGGTGGTAGATTATTAACAATACTCAAATCAACTTTTGACTGTAAACAACTGCCCATCCCAGTTTCCCGCGCCAGCTTTGAGCTGAGCGTCTTTGAACTCGGACATTCACCTGTGACGTTATTTGCACTCGTCTACCGCCCACCTCAGACTAAGGATTTCATAAATGAGTTTTCTGACTTCTTGGCGGAAATCACACCAAAATATGAGCATGTTTTCATTATTGGTGACTTTAATTTGCACGTGTGCTGTCCTGAGAAGCCCTTGGTTAAGGACTTTTTAGATTTATTGGACTCATTTAATTTAACGCAGCATGTAAACTGTCCCACCCAAAAGAGTGTGGACATACACTGGACCTTGTTTTGACTCATGATATGACTGTTAATAATCTTGTTATTGGTGATAATTTTTTTTCAGACCACATGCCAGTCCGGTTTGAGTTCACCCTCCCCCATCTAACTCCTAAGTCGTGCATTCCTGCACGTCGCACTCGGACCATTAACCACTTCACTGCCACACATTTCACCGATGTTTATAACTCTGAAATGATCATTCAGGCCCTAGTGTTTCGCACCACCACTGAGGAGCTGACATCCCAGTTCAACTCTGTCTGCTTAAAGACTCTGGATCATTTTGCACCTGTGCAGTGAACTAAGCCTCAGGTCAAATCCTGACCTCGAGGGCCTTCCTGGGACAAGAACTGTATTTCATTGATTTGAGTACAGAAACACAAAATCAAGTCCATCCAGAGACTTTCTAAGTGTCCTGCACTGATCAATTGAAAGAACACTCTCTTTTTCTATTATCATTACTATCTTACAAATGTCTTGATAATCAAAGTGTGTTAGTTCAAACCATTTTAAATGTTGAAGTGAACTACTCATTTTAAATCAACTGTGAAACAGTATTAATGAATTTTTAATCCTCATTCAAAGTAGAAATCAAGTTAAGGTCTGTTACAGAGTAATTATTCATTTTTCTTGATCTTCTGTCTGAAATGAGCAAGTGTAAGTTGGTCAAAGGTCAAGTTTCGGTCAACTGTAAGTTTACTGGAAAGAAATGTCATGTTTAACTTTTACAGAAAGATATGAGAGAACTGACTCCACGAAGTCTCAGGATCTTCATAACATCTTCTGTCTGTTCTTAGACAATCTAATCTTTTTACCTTGACTTTTAATAACCTCTTACATCACTAAAACACACCCCTGTTCGGTCAATCGACCAATCAGGAAGCTCTCAGAGGAACCGGAAGTGACCTCTTTAAAAGGTTCAACACTTCCTAGAGTGCAGTAGAGTGCAGTAGAGTGCAGTAGAGTGCGGGGAGAGTGCGGAGAGAGAATGCAGAGTTCAGAATGCTGGAGAACAACTGCAACTGAGCTGAACGAGAGAAGTTCAGAGGAACTATGAAGAAGTCTGTTCTGGGATGATCTCACGACTCCGAACGGTTCCCTACTATCCTTACGGAGATGCTGTAAAGCGTTGAAAGACAACTCTACACCGAGGCCGAACTATCGTCTGCAAAGGTAAAAGAGTCGATCTTCAACCGCAAAGTGT